ATAACATTTTATAAAGATAATAATTAAGTATTCTGTTAGAACTCAATGATTATCCTAATTATATTTTAGATTTTTTATATTTAAAATGAGATGTTTATCATGTATTTGATTGTGTTTATCTGCAGTTAGTTATACGAATTCAGATATGGGAAGGGTTTAAGAGTTGTAAGAGTTTTTAAGAGTTTTAGCCAAATGCTTTATAATATAGTATAGATATATACGGTATATTTCAAATGCAACTATGTCCATTTGTACAACCAATGTAACCCAATTAATTGAGATATTTATATAAATGATGAGAGTTTATTTATTATGATTTGAATATTTATGGAAGATGACTAGTTCTCATTAATTATGATCAATATTTTATATTTATGAAATCACATATTCATCAAATTAAATTGACAGATTCAATCACATATACATAAAATATCTTCTAAAATAATATGAGACTATTATCATTTACCTTACTACTACCAATTATTGATTGTCTATATCAGATTGTTACCATCTACTTTGGATAGATAACTAATTTGTTTCCTTGTATTATAGGGCTATCCTATGTTATTTTGAGTTCATTTTTAAATGTAGTTCTTTAGTGGTTAAGTTAAGTTCATTTGAAGGTTTTTGGGCGTTTTAGTGTTGGCGCTTCAAAACTTAAGGAAATCAACTGAGAAGTATGGAAAAGTAGGTCAAGCTAGTTTCAGGACTAGTTTGTTCTCTAGTTTAACTAGTGGTAAAACTAGCGAATACCATTGTTTGATTTCATTCAAAGTGCTCGGACTAGTTTCAGAGCTAATTTAACTAGCGAATACCATTGTTTGATTTCATTCAAAGTGTTCGGGCTAGTTTAACTAGCGGTGAAACTAGCGAATACCACTTGACAACGTTTTATGGGCCAATTTTTGGGTTTTCATTCTCATTCTCTCACCAAACTCTCTTCTCTCCCAAATTTCTTCCTCCCCCTCCTTGAATGCGATTTTCTCAGTATTTATTCCATATGTCCACCCATTCAGTATCATTTAAACCTCATTTAGGCTAAATATCCAAGTCTCAAGTTCAAGATTTAAGTGTTCTTCCCCATCTCTTAGCATTTCTTAATTTTCAATATTTGCATCAAAACCTAGTATTACTAGTTTGCTATTTGCTTTTATAAAACCATATACATGTTAAAATGATGTCTTTTACTTCCTTTAAGCTTTCATTTCATGTATTATTGCATTGGTTTCTCCATGAAATTTAAATCCCTCAAAAATAATTTTACAAACCATACGAAATCTTAGGGGTTGTTTGACATCTGCTGAATGGTTTGATGCAGAATGATTAAGTGGTCGAATGATTAAGAGACTTTTATGATATAGTGCAAAACAAAATATAATTGTTTGGTAATTGTTTACAATGAAATCTGGACACTTAATGGTTAAGAGATACTCATGATACAAAATCATTCAAAGGGTTTTAGAATCATTAAGAGGCAAATTTTTTTTGTCAAACAAGATTCAT